GGAATAAAGAGCAATTTCCAAAGGGAGAGGAAGCTGTTACATGGTAGCTCAATATCATCTTCCAGGAGTTTTCTAGTTGGTGTTGAGGTTTCTTAATTTCACTTTTACAGATGTATATTTTTCTGAGCCACTGCTGAGTTGCTGCATATTCAGACAAAACATGCCTACCTCCCACTTCATTCTTGGAAAGGTAAAGATTGTTCTTTCCAAAAATGTCTTTCTTACATACAGATGGGTTAGTATCAGACACTGCTATGAACAACCATGTAGAATATTGTATAAAGTTCCTGACTGCAGTTGCCCCATAAGTGTGTTTTATGCCTCTGTGACAATTAGCTAAACTTAATTTGACAGGATATTCTGTGTTCTACTTTCAAAATCCTTACACTGCCAGTATTAACACACGCCATAGTGAGATATTAGTTGGTGAGTTTTCTCATACCAGAAATTTTTGTGGGTAACTAGTATAAACCTACCAGCTACAGGAAAAAAAAACAAAAAACAAAAAAACAAACCCCCCCCAAAAAAACCCTCTCCAAACATATTTTAAATATTTGTTTCTTGTTTTTAAAATAACCTACTCAAATAGATTTTGCTGTTTGTTTCTGCATGCAATTCTTCTTTAGCTAAACTGTAACAAATTTGTCTCTGTGTGACTGGGAGAATCCTAGCTGCTCATCCCCACCTATTAAGAGGGAGAGGTCATCAGCTATGTTTATCCATTCAGGCAACCTGGAGGTCTTACTTGCGTGGATAGTAAGCTAGCAGAAGAATATCGTATACCACCATAAGACTATGTGGCTTAAATAAGTAGCTAAAACTGAGTTCTCATCCATCCTCACTCACAGCTCCCACTGGGAGGAGGAATGGAATAAGAAAATCAAACTCAATAAGGCCCTTTCATTAATTTAATTTCTATAGTTCAACACTGTTTACATAATAAAATGATAGCTACAGATCCTTCACTTTCTAAGAACAGAACAAGTGAAAACATATATCAAAATTACAGCATCAATGGACTGCAGATACCACACTACTAAGTATGTGCAAAATAAATTCTTAAATCATTTGACTTATTTTTTGAGAATTGTCTCTGACCCAAACTTTTAACTTTAACTTAGTTTTGCTGCTGAAGTCTGGCTTCTGGAACTACTCTCTCTTCTATTTGATCTGGCTTTGATTTGTTAATTTTCTAATTTAAATTGAAGGTTTTAAAAAAGATAGTTATCACAAGTCCAGATCTGAGCATCTTGAATCCTAGAAACACTTCTCCCAGACCCCCCAGTCTGTTACAGGAAAAGAGAAATTATAAGTTCAGAGGTTCAAATATTGTTTTTTAATGCCATTTTATTGGAATGGTACTGTAGTAAGAACAATAGTAAAAATTAAATTAAAAAATGCTCTAAACAATTTTCAGTAAGATATAGAAGAATTCTGCTTGCTAAAAAAAATTTCAGAAATTGACTTTGTGTTTTAAATTTCTCTAATTAAATTGCCTTAATGTAACAAATGCATTCTAACTCTCCGGTATTTACAAAAAGCTAATACTTCAGAACTGACAAATTCTTACTACCGTCAAAAGACACATTATTTGATTTCCACTGATTTACTGTGAAACTACAGAAAAAGGTTTTGATCCACCCTCATTTGATTGCATATGTGGTGTCCAGTTTTGTTGCCCAGCTTTTCAGCTAACATTACTCACCTTCAACTGCCTAATTAATGCACGTTGTGTTGGCTAGAGAAAGAAAAAAGTATCAGAACTACTAAACTGCTTTTGGACACTCTAGGCTGGCCCAATACCCCCAGGATATAGCCTCTAATAACATCAGTTCAAAATCCTGAAGCTTGTGACTGAAAAGTGCAATTTTCACACTAGATGTAAATCCAGCATTTCACTGAAAGTGTAAAACCTGATGTCCCTGCTTTCTGGCTGAGGAACAAGAAAAAATGAATGCTATAATTCCAACACAGAGAATCCCATCTTCCACCCAACAAGGATGTGGGAGGAGGAATACTGAGCCATCATTTCATTACAAAACACTTAATTTTGTTCTGGCAGCTGGTAGGACCCCAGCTGTCCCTTTCACTTTCGCCCTGTGACAAACACATGGAAAGCTGTAATAATTTCAAGCATGAAAACAGAGAAAAGATGAACAATAGTGAGTTGCTAAGAATGCTCATTTACATAGGATGTCTTCTTAGTTGCCCCAAATGACTTGTTTTTCTGTTAGCCCAACTGCACCAAGAGCTTTTGGCCATATACCTAGCTTGATTACAGGACAGATTGGGAATTAAACATTTCTTACAGTTAAATAAAGAGGCCTTATGTTTTAGTTTATTGGCAGTAATGCATTGCTAGCATTTCTGTTTCATACAGCCCCTATAAAGGAAATTAACAGTACGTGAGATTTTATCTTTTTTCTATGAGACTGAAAAATTACAAGAAAACCATCATAAAATATCATCTTTCAGACTGTTCCTCATTAAAATATGCTTTAATTATTGATAGAAGGACTATGGGGTGAATGAGAGGGAATTACATCTGATTGAATGTCTCAATTATACCCCATAATTGCAATGAAGACACCGGAAAATCAGTCTGCTTCAATGACCTACCTAGAGGTCTGTTAAGGGCAAGCAGAGGGCTGTGTTTCAGAAGAAAAAGTACATAAACAAGGAGGAAGGGGAGGAAACAGCTGCTATTATAATGGTGTATTGATATACTAGTTTACAGAATTAAACATTTCAGTTTAAAAAAGTGGTCTGCAATACACTGGATCAAACTCAGCAGCATGTGCCTTATTCTGTTGGAATCACTAGAACTTCTCTCATGACAAGTCTTGTCCACCCTGCAGAAATAAATTCAGAATGAGCAGCCATTCATACACATAAAACTTCTGCAATACACACTTTTTTTTTTTTTGGAGACAATATGACTGCAAATGCCAGTGTTTCATCCACTGCAGAGAGGCCAATCTTAAATTGTATTTTGTTCTCAATGCTGAATTGAGACTGTTCAAAGAAAGCAGAGCAGACAAACTTTTCTTATTAAAGTAGAAAAACAGTGTCATTTCCTCAGCTGAAGTTCACTTAGCATATTTACTATAAATGTCACCAGTAATAATTGCTACAAAACACAGAGCAAAATGCAGGTTATAGAGCTTAAAAACTGTATTTCTCTTAAAAGTATTTATTGCAAGAAGTGAACTTAATTCTAGGAAATTATTATTAAAAAAATGCCTTACAGACTGTCTTTTGGAAACTTGGACATCTTAGTGTAGCTACAGGGTCATTCCTTACAGAACAGGCTATAGTCCCTATAGACTGAGGCTTCCCCTTAGACAAATTTCTAACTAGTCATCTAACAAATACTATATTAACCTTTCTAAACCTGGGGCTAGAGAAGCAGTGCTTTAGTTTTGAAAACAGCTAGCAGTTCACATAGTAAGACTTTGGGGAGGACTGGGGAGGAGAGAATGGCATGGAGATTACAGAATAACAGTTCAGCTAATGAAGCTTGACTTTGGGTTGTTAGATGATATGGAAAAAAAAATAAATCCTCAAGTATCTTCAAAGAGATGGGCCACTAAAGAGTTTATCTGTGACAAGCCCTTTTTGTTTCTGCAGTCATCAGTGAGGATACAGCAAAGGAAATGGAGGAGCTGCAGTTATGCATTTGCAATACACAAAGTCCTTGTTTTCCCACTAGGCACTGCAGAATAGCAATTGTCCATTCACAGCACATATCACATCCTCTGCATTTCAGGGCTAATATTTTTGCAGTCCTTAAGCTAGCATGCTTCAGACCAATGTAGCTATTCTTTGTAACCCTTTGAGGTGCATTACATGAAGGATGTGTGTTCATGTTCTGTTCCTTGTTATATGAACTGATTTGGCAGGTATAATTCCTAAAGCTAGAATAAAAGATTTTCAAATTGCAGAGGGTTTATATCCATAACTACATATCAAACAGAGCTGTAAAAGGTCTAATTTCACAAATTGGGAAAATATGAAGATTGTTAGTATATTAATCCAATTATCAATAGAAGTTGGCTGTGTTTAAATTATTTTTAAGACCATTCATAAACACACACACAGAGACACAAGCTCTGACAAGTAACTCCTCCTTTTGTATTTTAGAATCATACGTCTGAAAACAATGTTAGTTTTATGCTAGCAGCTGCTTTCGTTTCCTGGAGCACACACTGTTCACTGTAATGCTGCAACACTCATTCAAGGCATATCAGTACCTCAAATATGAATTGAACCTATATGTCATCAAACAGACATCCGGCTACATTAATTCAACTTCCAAGCAAATTCTCACTTTTCTCTGTTGCCGTAGCAAAACCTATCTGAAAATTGCTGATACAAGACGATCGGCTCCTTTCCTTCCCACTGAGGATATGCTTACAAGTCAAAGTGCAGGCTGCTGCTTAATTTTGAACTTCTGAACCCAAACCAAGTAAAGCAATCTAAGCATGAATTAAAAAAAAATAAAATGATGTGGTACATGTACTCCTAAAACCGAGGCCAATATTCTTTTCTGCTTGACCTGCTTATTTCCAACTCTTTCTCTCTCTGCTCTAACTCTCAGACAAACTCACAGTCCCCTCAGGATAAGAATGAGTTTCTGCTTTCTTCTCCATTCATCTAAGCCAGTCAAGTCCCAGGTCTCCTCTCCTGCCACAGAGCAGTAGGAAAACATACAGAAAAAAGCAATCACAGTTTCTCAATGGAGTCAGAAGGGACTACAATAGCGGATTCTTTCTGCAATCTTCTTTAGCCATCAAATGGTTAAATCAACATAAGTTAAAATTTTCATGTAGTTTGAATAAAGAGAAAAAGGGAGGAAATTAAAAAACCGGTTGCTGTAGTAACAATCACCAGTAAAAATCTTTTCTACTGAATAATAGTATCAGCTCCCTCTCCCCCTCACAATTTTAGCTCCCCTTCAAAAATAATCATGCTGCCTCTTTTAGATTTGCTGTACATACCTCAACCATTAAACAAGACATTTAACCATACTGGCAGTTCTGTGACCTTTGAATGCCGTGAAATCTCTAAGCGGTGCAGCTTGTTCATGAAGACTTGTACTGCAGAATCCAGTAACTGCATCCAGGGTTAGGAATAGAATTAAGTAACAAAAGCAAACAAAAATTAAAAAAAAAAAAAAAAGAGAAAAAGAAAAAAGGAAAAACAAAAAAAAATGAAAGAAAAGAAAACCTCCCCAAGTCCCCCAACCCAGCCAACAAAACCACCTTAAGAAGCAAAAGGACTCGGGAAGAGAGTGCACTTTTCTGCCAGTATCAGGGCTGGGGTAGAGCTGAGCTTGCAGCAGTCTGCCTGCCTGTGTTAGCGTGCCGAAGGCCGTGCGGGGCTGGGAGGTGCTGTCAACTGCCACAGGCGCGGGAGAGCAGACCAATCCGCGTCCGCACTGTCAGCTCGGTGGAGTGAAGCCTTTGCTGTTTATGTTTCCTCATTTCAGGAGTGACGTCAAAGGGTTTAGTTTTTCCTCTGCATGTGCTATTAATTTTAAACGACTGCTATGGGAAGAATGTGGCAGTGATTTAGGCATGCTATCCGTGCAAAAGAAACCTGAGTCATGATTTATCTGTCCTGGATTTAGCCTAGAAATATTTTATAATGAGAGGTACCAGAAAGATCAAAAATATCCTCACAAAATGGGGAAAGGCTATAAATGTATTGAAGTATTCTTAAATATACCCAAGATGCTGGGTTATCTGTATGGGTTGTGGTGCAAAAATCAGACCTGATTCTGTCCTTGCCCTGAAGGAAATCAGGAACTGCTTCTCTAAATTCAGTGGTGTCACACCAGTGTAAACCTGGCAAAAGAGATAAGACAGACTACTGTACACATCCCTTTATCAGCAGTAGCTACACTGCAAATTGGCAAGCTTCTTTCATTACCCCATCAGAGTCACAGATGCAGTCAACTTCAAGGTCTGGTGCTCTGGGCAGCCCATCCATTCCACTGCCAGATCACAGACCGGCTGTGCCCACCTACAAACTCTGCTGTGGACCACAGCACAGGCTTTTATTTCATACCGAAGTGCATGTCAAAAGGCAAGAGGCAATGGTAGAGCCTGTCTTTTGGTATCACCACATCATTATCAGTGGAGAAGCTATGGAGCTGAAGCTTCAGAAAACATGTAATATATGACAAGGTCAATTAGCATGGGCAATAGAGGCCACAGCAGCCCAAGATAACTGATAGGAGGTCAGCTGACAATGATAACTGGTTAGTTATCTTCATAACTTTAATTTTATGGATTTGCTCTTATAGGGATTCCTTTCAAAGAGACCAGTTTAGAAGGCACAATTCATTCCCAAAAAGTCTTAACAGTCTAACATTTAATTTTAAAACACATGTAAGTACTTTTGTAAGTGGATAGGCTGACAGCTCTTGAAAAATAAATTTCTCAATGATCCACGGAACAGGTACAAAACCAGCAGAAGTAATAGGGGCTTCTCCATGACCACCAACTGATGCTACCAAAACTCACTCCACAGAGGTCAAAATATGTCATGATTTTTTTCTCGCTGAAAAGTCTGTCTGTGCTATCATTCTAATGTAATCTGCTTCAGCAATAAATTGTAAAGGTTATGGTGCTGTAAATGCTGGAATAATATATTAAAAAGTGTTAAGTAAGTTGAGATTTACAAAATCAATTAGAGTTCATTAAGTTCATCCAACTATACTTAGAAGCTATATGAAGCAATCTGGAATGCGTAAATAGGAAAATTATTTGTAATACACAGAAAATCATCAAACTCTGTAAGGGCCTGCTCTAGGAATATGGCACTGTGGATAATCAAGGTCCACTGTCTGGGCATGTGTTCTGGCTCTGCTTATTTTACCAGTGTAGATATAGGCAAATTGCAAAGGAGAAGGGAATACATTTTTCTCCATATTTATTGTGGTTATAACAAGTAAATTGCAGCACAGGAAATTTGTTTGATGTAGAGAAAAGTAAAGGTAGGGGAGCGAAGTATTGAAATCGATAGGCTGTGATAATCCACAGTGTCCTATTACTGGCTATTTTTAAAATATGATTAGGCAACCATCATTCATGAACAGTTTTGATGTAGGTGATCCTATTTTGAAGTATAGACGTAAGAGCAGGAGATTTCTGAATGTCTATTCCAATCCCATTTTTTCCATTTTCTGCATTTTAACATCAGTCCTAATAATAATATTACACTGTGTTTTGTGAATTAGGGTACATTTATGTTCTGCACAAAGTTTCATAAGTATTGTCTCTCTCCCGAAGAAGCTAGAGATTGCTTCAGCTTCCTGGAATTATGTGGCCCTCTGTCAATAAGTGGTCATTGTGGCTTTTGTGAGGTAGATGTGTCTTGGGTGAAAAGATGAAGAGGCCTAAAAGCACTGACAGTTGCAGTTTCTGCTCAAAGAATCTCAAATGAGTACACGCACGTAAGAATGAGAATGCATAGCTGTGCAGGGTGTTACAAGGAAGACCTTTGTTTCCTCAGCATAACCACATGCTTCCTTGACCGGGTGGGAAGGACTGCTGAGAAGAAATGGGCTCCATCTATCAAGGAAGGAAAACCTTCATCATAGATGTGCTAATTGGATCAGATATGAGCTAAAATAACCTGCAGGCTGATGACATGAGTGTTCCTGAATAAATGTGACCCACAGTGGCCTAGACATAAAACCTGAAAAAGTGAAAACGGTATCATTGGAGAAAGAAGAAAGCAAACCAACACAGACCAACTGATGTTCAGTCTAGATGTCTCTATACTGATGTAAAATGTGTAAAAAATAATAGAAGGGGCCTAAAACCTTAATGCAAGATCAAAATTACAACTTAATTGACGTAACAGAAACTTGGTAGGGTACAGTCATGTGAATACGTGACAGGAATACTAATACCAAAGAGCACAGCTTGCTCAGGAACAACAGGAGGGAAAAGGTGATGGAGACTATGCCACATATTCAGATGTTCAGAATGCAACAATAAACATGCATTGAAAGTCCGAATGATAATACAAATGAAAAGAATACAGATATTGTGGGGGATCTGCTGCAGATCCAGGCAGATCAAGTGGATAACTCTTTTGTTTAGCAGTTAGCAGGACTGTCTGAAGCACAGAACTTGATCATAATGGGAAATTTCAATCAGACAGCTCTTAGAAAAAGAGCTAAGCTGGACTCATACACCTTGGTTCATTCTCTCCAGAATAACCATTCAGAGTACATTTATGAATCTCTCAAATTTATGAGCCTGCCTTTTTGAGTAGTCCGCTTGACTAAGTGATTTATTTGACTTCCTTTTATAAGCACTGGAGGCACTTAAATATTTATCTCTTGTTGCTTTCCATTCCCAGCATAGGTGGCACACCAAGACATGCTATCTCCTACCATAGGATGGCATTCCTCTTCTCAACCCTTTCATCATGGTCTTTGGAAAGCAACTTGGATATTAGACAGACTTCTCAATCTGCCTCACCTGAACCACACTCCTTACACTCAGACATATTCCCAGAAACCTAAAAAAAAATTAATTCATCCAAGTGCCAGTAAAAATTGTGTTTGCACATGGTAGAATGGTAGGCACAATACATGGAGAAGAAAAAAAGATGCCTTCTTCCTAAGGTACCTTCCACTTTCTTCCTACCTCTTTATTTCTACCCTGGCCATCTTCAGGAAGGGGTCCAGCATGGGACCACATATTACTCTTCATATTGCTGTCAATGACATCTGAGACAGTATAGTAGTTCTAGAGTGTGGGAATAAGGAGTAGAAAAAGCACATTTTTCAAGCTGCTGCCACTGCTGAAAGAATTCATGCCTGACTCTTCCTTTCCACATCCCTCTGCTTCCCCACGAAATTGCTCTGAAATGCAAGGTTATAGATGTTACAGTAATTCCCAAAGGTGCTGCTACTTTTCCTTAGAGCATGAACATGTAAATCTGAGGATGCCGAAGACTGTGGTGAAAATTGTTTCCTAAGCCTGTTGCAGCTTTCTTTGTCAAGGAACAATAAAGCTGAGGAACAAATGCAGAGGCATTATTTTCTGAAGTCATGAAAAGAAAGGAAGGAGAGGGTGGACAATCACATTTGAAGAAGCCTAATGTAAAGGAAGTTTATAAGAGGTGAGTTTATGTACTACACTCTATACATTGCTGTTGGGAAACTTTTGAAGGCAGATTTCTCCAGGCTGAATCATGTGAAATGGCTGGCTAGTGACTACATGCAGATGTCCTGTGCCTATTTATTTACAATTAATGTCCTCAGTTAGCTTTTTAATCTTGTTACAGATGCATTGAATGGCTGGAAGCACCCTTAGTGCACTGTCTGTGAAACAGACTCTCTTACAGTTCCCTTCTTCACCTGTGATCTGTGCAATATTTTCAGTGTATTTAGTAACAGCCTGTGTGAACTGTGAGAAGATACTGCTGGCTGCTGATTAGTTCAGGGTTCCCTGGAATGACCCAAGCCCAGCGTGCACTTAGACAAGCACAGAGGTAGGTAAGAGTGTGATGTTCAGAGAGAGATGGTCCCCAAAGGACACAGATTGCTGATATAACTGTAGACCTCACTTATCTGATCCATAAAGCTGGAATGTCAGTGCAGGTTTAGACTTCTGGGCTTGATTTCATCTGACAAAGTGCTGTCATAACAAGATTACACTGCTCCTGAGAGAGATGTTTACAATGGGGGAATGCTCTCAAGCTCCCACAAACTTATCTGTGAATTATTCTGTTTGGCTTTCCAGCCTTGATCCTACCTACCTATTATCAGACCTTTTTTTTTTCAATGTGGTCTAGAAATTCAGCTGTTTCTGGCAAATAACTTTCCTCCAACTGTCCCCTATGCCCTGTTAGAGTTCCCAGTCTCCTTTCAGCTTCTGCTGTAATCTTAATGGCTGAGTTAAAAAAAAACAAAACAAAAAAACCAACAAAAAAAACCCCTCCTTTATATGACTGTTTTAGTTTTCTTCCTCTGCCTGGACAGAGCAAAGCACAGGAGAAAGCTCCCTCTTATAACATCTGTTGCAACTCAAATACAGCTCAGGAATTTCAGTTTGGAAGTGGTAGTGGTTGTGGATAACAGTTGTGATCTGATCCCAGCTATTATAGTGGGTTTGCAGGCAATTTGGGCTGACCTTAGACATTTCCTTGGCAAGGGAGAACACTAGGGCATTTGGGCAGAGGGTCATCACTGTGGATTTATGAATAGCCTCCTATTTCACAGGGCAGAACAGGAAATCTAGGCAAAAAAAGGAATCTAGGTGCCCATCATAGGTACCCTCAGGGTTTAGGAATACTGAAGGAAAGAAGTTTACACAGTAGGATACCTCAGGGCATGAAATTCCTTAAGTAACAGTAGATGAATTAAGTATGGGCTTTCTCTGTATTATTGGTGATAATTTTTCTATCAAGGCTATGGACAAAGTACCTAGATAGAAGACTAC